TATAAATGTTAAGCTGATATATATTTAAAATATTCATTTCAAGTAAGAAAGGCCTGGCATGATTAAAACGGTCTTTAAAGTTTATAAGACGTGCAATGTGTTTCTGTTGACGATGAAGAGGTTCTAGTATACTTTTGTTCACACTTCCCCAAGCAATGTTAGCGTTGTTAATATGACAATTAATAAAGGAATTATATAATTGAATTAAAGTATGTTTATTTAAGAAACTTCTTGATTTATATAATATTCCTATAGTTCTAGCAATTTTGTTATTTAGATTGTTAACGTGATTTTTCCATTTAAGATTTTCATCAATATAAATGCCTAAAAATTTTGCAATTTTTGTTTGCTTTATTTCAATATTGTCAACAAAAATAAGTGGCGTAATACTTGGAATTAGTTTTTTTTTGAATTTGGGTAAAAAAGCATCCATTTAGTTTTTTCTATATTAATTGATAGTTTTAAACCAGTCAGAAATTTTCAAATGATGTTGTTAGATCATTGCTGGTTAAAAAAAGATTAGTGTCATCCGCTTTGTTTGAGGCTTTGTAGAGATCATTGATGTATATTAGAAATTGTAATGGGCTAGTATTGAGCATTGTGGCACTCCACAAGTTATATTTAATAAGTTTGATGATAATAATGAGTCTATTTGAATAAGCTGTTTACGATTAGTTAAATAATTCCTCAGTAACGATAAAGTGATTCCATAATGTTCTAGTTTGTTATAAAGAATTTCATGATCTATAATATCGAAAGCTTTCGATAGATCTATGAAAATACCTAATGTGTATTGCGATGTTTCAAATGAATCAAATATATTTGTTTGAATCATCGCAGTCATTGCGATATCAAAAAATAACAATAAAAATCCATTTAAGTATATATAAGAAATACTTTTATGTCAAATACTAATGTCAGCTCAGGAATTCAGCTCCAAAGTAAACTTAAAAGTCAACTCGCCGGCTACCAACTTTCAATATTATAATTATTCAGGAAGTTTTTAATTTAAAAGGAAATTCGAAAAAAAAGAGAAAAAATAAATAAATTGAAATTTGTCAAGCCGCTTGCCGCAGATTTGAAATAAATGTTTCGCATCCAACAAGTTGACACGCAAATAAAAAAAAAATGCGAAGAAAGAAAAAAGGCGAAGCTTCTTAATAAGCTAAAAAAATTAAATTTGGTAGTGCAATTTTAGGTATTCAAAGAAATAAATACATACATATACAAAAAGATCTAATAATTAATACATTAAAAGACACGTCATAAGTAACTACTAAGAATAATAAGTAAAATTTATTTGAATAAATTAAAAATGTGTTTTTTTGCTTGAAACTTAAATGAGTTTAATGATTTTACCATATTTGCATTAGTTTTTTTAAAAGAACTCCATAACTTGTCCACGATATGTTATTGAATATTCTGTAAGTTTATTTAATTTCCTTGGCAGTTTAAAGAAATTTGATCGACTTGTACTTAAGAAGTGCTTTCACTTAAATTTTTCTCAAACTTACAAATAAAATTATCTGGAGTTAAGTTATTAATATATTTATACATGAAAATTAGGTTAAATTTATTTCGTATTCATTCATCATTTTCATATTTCTCATTAAGGGTTTCGTATGCTCATCTCTTTTTTTTCCCGAAAATAGTTCTACACGCATGTTTTTGCAAAATATTTATTATTTTAAGTTTTGATGGTTGTGTACTAGCCCATGTAATATTAGTATAGTTAATGAAACAATGAATTAAAGTAAAGTATATTAACTTTATAAAACTGTATTACATATGGACGAGCTCGGTACATCAGACCAATGGTTTTACTAACTTTTTATTGTAAATATTTAATATGAAGCAAAGCTAAATTATTATCAAAAAGTATTCTTAAAAACTTTATATAGTCTTGCTTTATTATTGCTATGTTATTTAAAAGTAGGTCTGGTAAACTAATGGGAAAATTTTCTTCTTACATTTTTTAATGAAATAAAGTATACTTTGTTTTTATTTGAATTTATTTATTTGAATAAAAAACTAAAATAAAAATAAATAAAAAAGAGTTCAAGTGACACATACTCGCACCAGCCCTGATTATAAGTTTCATTGTGATACTTTTTTATTTTCATTAAAATTAATCAAAATTTATAGCTAATCTGGATTTTGGTTTATGAAACTAAAAAAAACTTTTTAATAATGGAACAAGTATCATGTGCAATATTTTTTCAGACGCCAAGGAAGTACAATCAAGTGACAAACCGGTTAAAACCTCATGTCAGGTGTGATGGCTGTCTCATGCCAGGTGTGATGGCTGTCGAATCAGGTGTGATGGCTGTCTCATGCCAGGTGTGATGGCTGTCGAATCAGTTGTGATGGCTGTCTCATGCCAGGTGTGATGGCTGTCGAATCAGGTGTGATGGCTGTCTCATGCGAGGTGTGATGGCTGTCGAATCAGGTGTGATGGCTGTCTCATGCCAGGTGTGATGGCTGTCGAATCAGGGAGCTTATCTCTACAAGCAGCTGCGCAAGAGTATAAAATTTCAAAATCAGGTTTACAGCGGAAAATAAAGGTTAATAAAGAAAAATCTTACAGTAACTTATATTTTGATGAACAACATAAATAAATTTTTAGGATTAATAATAAGATTAGGTAATGCTAATTCTAGTAGATGGATAAATGCATAATTTTTTTTTTTGAAATGGTTTGATCATTTTGTGAAGTATAAACACCCTAGTAAGAATCATACATTCCTTTTAATAATGGAAAACCACAAAAGTTATCTATCGATTGAAAAAAAATAATAATAATGATAAAAATATTTCGACTGAATTGTGTCAATTACCCGACTAGCCGAATAAATTTGTCAAAAAACCGACTATAACTGGAAAATCCCGTTCTTTGGGGGACCTCCTCCTCCCACCTTCATACACACACACACCCGTAAAATTGCCTCTGACAACTTGACAGATTAGTATCTGGATCATTAAAGAAGTTTTTCACTGCAGTGTTTTTTACAGTGTGCCATCGTGTACACATCATTTATCGGGATCATATCGGGAAAATGCCATGTACACATCGTGTACATGGCATTTTCCCGTATGATCAACATGTTACCATTGATGTAGACTTTTTATGTTCTTATGTATCTGATAGGCCAATTCCAGTAAATGCCTCAATCTTATCAGCCAATTTGTCCAGCAGTATTTCTCAAGGGGTCCAAAGAACGTTTTAACTAATATATCCAATCAGACAGACCCTGCAGCAAATTTTAACAATTTAAGTAATATATCTGATTGGCAAACACAAACAACTCCCACATCACCATCAGTTGTATTTGAAGTTATTAATGACAAGAAATAGCAAACCAACACTTCTGCCTACCAATAAACAGCAGAAGAAATAAGGCCATTTTCAAAAGCGGGTGAGTGAAAAAAAAAGCGAGTGAAAAAAAAAGTGTGTGAAAAAAAAAAAGCGGGTGGGAAAGAGAAAAAGCGCAAAAAGAAAATATTTTAGGTGTCTGGTATTGACTGACACACCAACAAGAAATGAACTGGATAAAATTTATTAGGATGTAAAAAAAAAAGGAAGGTAAAGATAAGAAAAAGCAAAAAACCTCTCACATTAAAAAATGAGTAAATATTTATAAAATATTTGTAAAGTAAGTAAATATTTATGATTATAAAGTATCATTCTGTTGAATTTGACACTGATGTAATCCCCTCCTAACAACTGGTGTAATCCCCCTCCTAACAACAGGTGTAATCCCCTCTACTGATTACTGATTATTTTTATGTTTCTTAAGTTCCTCAGAATAGTCATTTTTTTTCTTTTAAAAAAAAAAAATTTCTTAATTAATAAACAAATAAATATAATAAAATAAATAATAATAAATAAATACGTTATTTGTTAAAAATACAGCTGGTGATTTTTTTGATGATTTGGGTTTTGATTCCTGACGTCATCCATGATTCTGACGTTATCCATGGATTTAGTTTTTTTTGCAGGAAATGTAATATATTAAGGTTATTGAAACTTATCAAGAAACATCTTTTTATCCATGTTTTCAATGTAAAGCACGTCATTCCAGTTTATAGTTAAGAAGTGAAGTAAAACCTTTAATTGAATTTTGGATTGATTTGACGTGAACATTTTTACATTTTTTTTGGATAGATACTATCGCATCTTTTTGAGATAAAAAATATATGGAAATAGTCTGCAAATATCCATTTAAGTTTTTAAATTGAATTTATCGGTGACGTTTTGATCTATGGATGTTGTAGTAATAACTCTAATAACTTTTTTAATCCTAGTAACTAATAAAATTCCGATATTACACGGCATATAAACGAATAAATTCCGATATTACACGGCATATAAACGAATAAATTTCGATATTACACGGCATATAAACGAATAAATTTTAATATTACATGGCATATAATAGAATAAATTCCGATATTACATGGCATATAATAGAATAAATTCCGATATTACACGGCATATAATAGAATAAAGTTGACATTTGAAAAAATGTGAAGTTTACACTTTTTTTTTTTAGTGCATGCATGACTTTTTGGTAAATACAATTAGCAAGTCATTTCATTAATTAGCAAGTCATTATATCAACCGCATTCAAAAAAGTTTACTCATTTTTTTCATTTGACGCAAAGAAACTTTTATTAGAATTGTACCTATATAAGTTTGCTCATCTATTCAAATATATATGCTCATATACCCAAAGAGAAATTAAAATTACTTTTAAAAACTATTATTTTCTTATATTGCTATGCTCTACAACCTGTCTCTACAGCAACCTGTCTATATGGCAAAATTATACCTACTCGCTGGCCTTCATATAGCATGTATATTTTAATTTTCAAGATAAAGCAAACTGTAATTTTGTTTTTATGTCACAATTCTTTCCTACTCTGCAACAATATGCAAAAAAATGTTCAATTTTAATATGCAACCTAATTGGACATGATTATTAGAAATTAAACTAGAATTGTATTATGATTGACAATTTTTAAGTATCTTCAATTGATTTACAGTTTAGCAAATATTAAAAAAACTCTCAATTAATACGCGAGCTTAACTTATATTATAAGATTTTGGCATCTAGATTGTTATTTCTTTGATTTGATCTGAGATTTCATAATACGAAAAAACTTTTTATCTGTTTTTTGAAACGGCGACAACATAATGAAAGATATGTCCGCACAAAGCTTAACCTTTGTTCACAATAGCACCAAATTATACCAACGGTCTAGAACTGCCACGTAAAATTTGTTTTAAACAACAGTTAATCTTTCTATAACCAAAAGTTCAGAACTTTTTTTCTTTACTGCAGGTGTAATTATCATTGAACCAAAAGATGCGATGCTTTCAGAATTTTTAAAAACTACTCGTTTTTCAAGGCCTAAATGAGCAAAGTTTAGTGATCGGAATAATGATGCTGATGTTTTGTCTACAAGGTCATGAGTTTCTTTATTTTTAACAAAAGATTTTCCTTCTTCTATCGATATCAGATTAGATTTATTAGATAATGAAGCTTTACGAACCCAAAACTTATGATCCGGAGGAGGCATCAAAAATGGAATTAAAAACATAATACATGAAGCAATTGTAGGAATAGCTCCAGCAACATAAAAAGCAACGTGATATGAATGAGATTTATCGTATATGAATCCTGTAAAATAATTTAAATTTAACTAATTTTTTTATAACAATATAATTTATTTTATAATATTTATAGTATTTTATAATAATTTATTTTATAAATAAATAATTTATAGTTTATTTTATAATACTATTATTATAATTTTTATTTTTACTAAAAAAAAACTTGCCTGCAAGCGGGGCTCCTAAAGTAAGGGGTATTGATTTAATCCCAAAAAGTGTTCCCACGCCCACTGCCATGCGATCATATCCAACAATATCACCTGTTATAACCGCAACCTGACACACATAGCATCCTTCAAAAAAACCAAATAAACAGCAATAAACTAATAGAGCTGGAAACGTAACCATAATTGGACATAAAGCGTTTGAAACGCCAATACCAAGCAGTGCTATTTGATAAACATAAAGTCTATTAACACGGTTACTATCAGCTATATGACCAAAAAACAATCGACCAACTGTTGATGCTATGGACATAACACCAATAAGAAAAGATGCTTTTTTCAACGGAATACCATACTCAATAGCCATCTGAGTCTGTTAAGAAAAAAAGTATATATTGAATATAAATATTTATTTGAAAACTTAAGTATAAATGTGTGTATATTATACTTGCCTATTTAAACTTTAAAGCTATATTTAATAAAATGTCAATTTTTGTAAAAGAAATAAAAATTTTGACTTGTACAAGAACAATGCATCATTATCCTAGAAATATCGTTGGTTTCAAAAAAGGACTATGATAATATCGTTTTATATATACGAATACTTTTATAAACAAAACTGTATATATATATAGATATGAATTATATCTATATATATATAGTTTATATAGATATAGATATGAATATATATATATATATATATATATATATATATATATATATATATATATATATATATATATATATATATATATATATATATATATATATATATATATATATAAATATATATATATACATATATATATATATATATATATATATATATATATATATATATATATATATATATATATATATATATATATATATATATATATATATACATATATATATATTGCTGTTGTTGCAAGTTTTTTTGTACCAAGTAGAGATACATAGCCTCTTTTTCGTTTTTTTAAAGTGATCAATATAATGTAAATTAATTATTTACAAAATAGATCATCAACTGCATATAAAAATTTAACTAAATGAAAAGTTGTATTTTTTCATTTAGCTAAATATATATATATATATATATATATATATATATATATATATATATATATATATATATATATATATATATATATATAAATTTAACTAAATGAAAAAATACAACTTTTCATTTAGTTAAATTTTTATATGCAGTTGATGATCTATTTTGTAAATAATTAATTTACATTATATTGATCACTTTAAAAAAACGTACAAGAGGCTATGTATCTCTACTTGGTACAAAAAAACTTGGAACAACAGCAATATATATATATATATATATATATATATATATATATATATATATATATATATATATATATATATATATATATATATATATATATATTATATATATATATATATATATATATATATATATATATATATATATATATATATATATATATATATGTATATATATATATATATTCATATCTATCTATATATAAACTGGTATTAGGACAATCCTGACAATATTAAATCAAATATGGTTTAGACTTTTACATCAACGGTATTTCTATTGCAATGTTGTTATATACTCTTAAATGTTAAAGAAAAATTTAATGCAAAAAGTGTTCCCAAAAAATTATTGTTTACTATATTAACATTAAATCAACTCATACCATACCAAATGCACAAATGGAACAAAATAAGCCAACATAAAAATAAACAAAGCAAATGTAAATACAATAAAAGCTTTGTTTTGAAATATTGAGAAATCAAATAGCGGTTGTTTGTAGTTGTTAGAGGGGGATGGTGATAATATTATTGGCCGGTACAAAAAACTAACTGCAGATGTGCATAATAACAAAACTGAAGTTAGACGATTAGATACTCTCCAACCATAACTTTCATTAATAAAGTTTAAAATTGGTCCTAAAGCCATTGTACCAACTCCCGATCCGCACGAAACAATGCCATTGACTAAAGACAAACGTTTCCTAAAGTAATGCGGCAAAATTAAAACGGAAGGAAAATAACAAAGGCTAGCTCCAATTCCAAATAAAAGTCCTTCCGTTAAATACATGTGGCTCAAATTTTTTGAAAAAGATGCTGTTAATGTTGCTAGTGCTGCAACAACCCCACCTAGAGCAGCCACTTTTCGACATCCAAGTCTTTGACATAATGATGTGGCAATTGGTCCGGAAAGAAACATAAGACCGTATGTTATTGAGCCAACCCATGCTAAACAAAATAAATTTTTTAAAGAAATATATATATATATATATATATATATATATATATATATATATATATATATATATATATATATATATATATATATATATAAAATACAGATAAATTTAATAGGTTACGTCATCATTAATCAAATTAAAGACTCGTTTATGCATCTCTAGTTTTACAGTTTTAATCATTAATTTTCAATTTTATAGTTGTATCCATTGACTCGTGTTATCTTATAATTGAAGTAGTAATTTACGGGTTTGAATGATAAAAAAGAGATTTTGAAAATTTTTTACTTACTTACTAACCCTAACCTTACTTACTAACCCTTACTTACTAACCCTAACCCTGACTATTGTAAAAAATGTTTCTAAAACTTAGCAGAAATAGTTTACAGCCTTATTACCCAGGCCTTCCTTAAAGCAGCGCTTTAGGAACAACTTAAGTTTTTCAACAGCATAGTAATACTTTAAACTTTTTTCTTTTCTTTAACTCCTAAAAAACAATATGTAACAAGGTAATATTTTGAATAAAAAAGTTATAAAATTTTGTCTGGCAAAAATTATATTTTAAAACAATTAAACATCAACTAAACGCATCAATGAAGTTGGAGTAAAGATATAGGTTTAATGATAAATTATTTATTGTCTGATAACGCTATCAGACTTTAAAGATATGTTACAGGGATTTACTGTTTCAAAGTATAAGGTTACACGGATTCACCCTTTAATAAATTACTGGGATTCACCTTAAAATTTGCGATATTTTTTTTTGAAATTTTCAATGATAAGCTTTTTTGAACAGTAAAACTGCTGCTTTTTTAAAAAAAATAGTTTAGCTTCTCAAAAATGAACTCTGAATTTCTTTGAGCTTTGCTTCTTTAGTATCATTATTTAACACAATTCGTACAGCTACACAATTATTTTTACAGGAAAACTTTTATATAGGTATCTTATACACAAGTTAATGTATTTACTAGTGTTTAAAACATGATTTTTAATTCGATGGACGCGAATTAAGTTTTTTTTTTATTCATCCCGTTTTTCAAACATTTCAATAAAATCATAATTTATTAAAATTTAAATAGATTTTTAAAGCTTTTTTAAACCATAATGTTTATTTTATCATAATATTTATTTTAACCATGATAATTACTATGTTTTAAACTATTATAATTGGTTTTTTCTTTCTTTTACTAATTAAGGAAAGTTTTTACTCTTAAAGTAAACTAACCTTGCATAAAGCTATATACCTGTTTGAGTTTTAGTTCCATGAAATTCTTCTAGAAGCATAGCAAATAGCAAACCAAAATTGTTCATTATTCCCAACACGATGAACTGAATCGAAAAAGCGGCAATTACTATAACCCATCCGAATCCTCCATCTGGTTGCTGAGACTCTTTATCATTGTTGTTTTCTGATTCAGTTAATGATGACATGCTATACTATCTAAACCAATAGTTGAAAACTCTCGATTACAGGTTTTAAGAGCAACAATTTTGAATTTACTATTTTATTGTTATTTCATTTTTTTTTTCAGATCTCAAATCTGATGAACCTCCTAGTGAAAACTTATTTGTATGCACATAAATTATACAGATGTATTACGTCTCGATAAACCAAAAGATGAAGCATGCGATTAAAAATGAATTGAAAAAAGCAAACCAAACTGATCTTTTTGCAGTGTTCCGTAAAGCAAACATTTTAATACTACATTATAAACTCCATTTAGAATACTTTTTCTTTTATTTCAACTTGTTTTTATGTACTCTTTTATCTTGCTTGCCCGCCCCTTCGTTACAATAAAACAAAGTATTAAAAAATTACTGCAAAAAGCGTTGCGAAATACGAATAAAACTTTTTTCTAAAATAAATTTAGCAAATAAGCGTCGAGTTCAAAAAAAGATAAAAAAATAAAAAATGGCAAAAGTAAAACACCGGAGTTAGCGTTTATGTATAACAAAAGTTTATTGAATTAAAAAGTTGAATACAAAATATTAATTTCATAAATTTTTCATTTTTTAAAGGTATTTTATTTTAAAGAAAGATTTTTGCGTTTAAATTTTGTAAATATAAAGTAAAATAATTTTTGTTTTGTGTTAATAATTACAGCTAGAGAAATAATAAAATAGATAATAACAAACTTACTTTTATCCAACATCTGCGATATAAAACAACTAGAGGGGGTAAAACTTTTGGTGACGTCAAATTTAAACATTAATTCGAATTATTGTTTCAATTAGTTAGGTAAACTGCAAAATTCATTTTATTTGTTCGCGTGATTTTAATTACCTAAATAAAGGAGAGATATTTATATTAATTGTAAATTCTCCCTAATTATATATCTAGTAATAATTAATTAATCAATCAATTTAGAAAGCAAAGTTAGTTTTTTTTATAGTTTAGTTTAGTAATTTATTTACTTCTTTTTCAGGCTAATTAGATATATATATATAAATAGATATATATTGTAATATATATTCAGTTAATATTTTTTGATAACAAACTATATATTTTAATTAGTTATCGAGAAAATTTTATTATTTTGAAATAATGCCGGTCATCAAGTAAACATTTGCACTACCCATACGAACATTACATTTGATCCATCCTTAAAAATTTTAAATTAGATCTGCCATTTATTTGAGATAAAGAATAAGAAAGTAGTAGCTATTGCTTTTAGTTTAGCTTCAATTTAGGAAAAAAACGGGAGAGCCTCTTACTTATGTAGAATGTAAACATGTTTATTAACACAAAATTAAGATAAAGTTAAACAATAATAATGACTATATGATGAACAACAATAATAACAATATGGTGAACATCTAGACTTAAACTTTAGATTGGTATTACCATGTGACAACACTTTAAAGTGATATAATGATGTTGCATAATACCAACAATATATGTTTAAAATTTTTAAAATACAGTAAAACCCTAGAAGCTCGAACCTTTAAGGGCCAAGGATAACAGTTTGACTAAACTAGTGTTCGACTCAAGTGAAAAAGTGTTCTTGCTTTCATGGGATTATAGTAAACAGTTTGAGATAACAAAAGTTTAAGGTGTTAACCGGTGTTCGAATTAACGAAAATTAGCTGTACCTCTAAATGCACTTATAAGGTTTATATAATGTTTCCATATAAGGAGTTGTAAATTTTGTGTTTATGAATAATTTTTCCGTAAACTATTTTTGATAAAAAAACAAGTTACCAACCGTGGCGCAGTATTTAGTGTTCTGATTTTCTAAACAAAGAGGTCCAAGGTTTGATGCCGGCTTTGGCCAGATAAGCAGCATTGGTAAAAATTAGAGGCGTGAACTTCCCAGTTAAATATTCTTCCACGTTGCTCTATTAAGGTCAGTTTCCACTTACACAATATACGTTTGGTATAACATTATTTAATAATATTAAATAGAGACCAATATATTATATTAGCAACAATTCATATTAAAAGTATGAGCCTCAGTTAACCAAAAGTATAATAAACATATACTAATAAGCACCCTTAATATAAAAGTTATTTGAGCGCTCTTATTGCCTATAAAAAAATATCTTATACAAAATCCTGCTTTTTAAAAATATTTCTGTGATGTCATATTAATACGAACTTAAACTAACATAAAGGGCAACATAACGTAAACGGCAACAAACTAACATAAAGGGCAACATAACATAAAGGGCAACACAACTCCTTATTAACAATAAGTGGAAACTGACCTTTAAGGGTAAAATAATCACATGAGCGCAGTTGGTATAAGTTTTTTCTACGCATGCTCGCGTGATTATTTTTTCTTTCCCTAACTCGTTCCCGCAGAAAAATGGATGAGTGGAAACTGACTATTATAAGACCGTAAAGACTTCTTGAAGGACGTTTCTAACACTAAAAAAACATTTATAACACTAAAAAAAAAAATTTGAAAATTAAAACTTGATCAAAATTAAAAACTTTTTTAAACTTTCAAAAATTTACATAAATTAATTTAAATAGTATAAAACTTAATATAAACTAGTTTTTTTGAGACAAAAGAATTTATTTTCTTAATAACAAATAATATTAGATTATGTTGCATAATCTACTTCAAAATTCTTATTTATGATCAGCGTGTATGTCATCATCAGCAACCAACTGCTCCTATGATGGCATACCTTTAATAAATTACACAAACAAAGCTTTTTTTTGTTTTTTCTCAATAATAATACAGTATATTCTTTAAAAATTAATAAACATAGTTAACATATAATTTTTTTTTCTTTTTTTATCTACAGTTAAGAATATAATGCTAACGTAACGCTTACATAACGGTTAGTGAAAAGTTAGCGTTATGTTTACCGTTATGTTAGTAAAAAATATATCTTAAGCTTTATGTTTCCCAAAGTTATATGTATTTTCTTTTGTCTAAGAAAGACTTTATGTTTTGCCGTTATGTTGCCCTTTATGTTAGTTTAAGTTCGTATTAATATGACATCACAGAAATATTTTTAAAAAGCGGGATTTTGTATAAGATATTTTTTTATAGGCAATAAGAGCGCTCAAATAACTTTTATATTAAGGGTGCTTATTAGTATATGTTTAATATACTTTTGGTTAACTGAGGCTCATACTTTTAATATGAATTGTTGCTAATATAATATATTGGTCTCTATTTAATATTATTAAATAATGTTATCATATTGTTATTCATCTTTATTAATATTATGTTATACACACATAAAAATAATAAAGATGAATAATATGACAACACTATACGTGTATGTACATATTTAATGTTAAAAAAGTCTCTAATTTGAATATATTTTTTACTATTTGCATTGTTTCTTCACAAAAATAGTGTTATAAAATTTTTTAAATATATTGTAAACAGTACTTTTTTGGTGTGAAATATATTGGTTGATTGAGTTTTCATTGCATTGATAAAAGTTATAACAACACATGTGTTCTAAAAGTTTATATTTATAATATGACATATTAATAATATTAGATTACAATATGATATTATAGTTTGATACATATTTTAGGTTTAATTTAACTATTATAATATTTCTTGTAATTTGTTTTAAAAGTTTGTTTTATTTTTCAAAGGTTTTAGTTTTAGCTTTTTGTTCAAAGCAATTTTAAGATGTTGTATATATATCTATATGTATATATATATATCATATATATACAAATAAATAACATGTTAAAATTACATATACAGTAGAATCACGTTAACTCGGACTCTGAAGCGGTATATATTTATTGTCCGAATTAGCGAATGTCCGAATTAAGCAAAGCTCTCGTTAAACCGGACCTTTTGAAAATGTCTGACTTATTAAGATTTCGAGACTTATCGAATGTTCTTCGATATATAAATATTATGTACATATATATATAGAACAATATAATCTTATGTGAAATATATATTTTTGTATATAAAATATATACCATAAACGAAAAAAGTCCGAAATTGATGTTTGTTTCAGTGACTCGCGCAATTCTTTTTAAATCAGCTATGAAGCATTCAGAGATACTCTTCCAATTTTACCACTCTGAGTAAACATCGATAAAAATAACAAGGTTGCCAACTGCTTTACGAACTTCTGTATTCGTTGGCTTAGTCACCGTTTCTTCTTCAACTACCTTCAAATGCATTTCTTCTTTAACTCAATGATATCTTGAACAATATCTTCATCTGTTATCACTCCTCCTATAACCGAAACGTCATCATCAGTTGTTAACATATCTTCGTAAGTAAAATCTTCCGAAACAAGATCTTCATCACGCTGACCTAACTGATTAATTTAATTTTTTTAATGCAGGGAAGTATTCTTCAACTTGTCTGGTACTCCTACTCCTTTTTAAATCCTGCTTTGCGGAAGTAGTTAATAATATTGGTTTCTGAAACTTTATTCGAAGAATGAACAAGCATTTTCATAACATCAAGTATGGAGATTGAAGGCATTTTTTTTCCGTTAGCTTTTACAATCTTGTTAATTAAATTAGTTCGGTACTTACACTTCAACAATCAACTGACTCCTTGATCCATCGGCTATAAGCATGAAGTTGCGTTTGGGGGGAAAACGTATAGTGTGACCGATTTAAGATTCTTAATATTCGTATGTGCGGTGCAGTTATCAATAACCAATGCTACCTTACGGCTTAATGCAAAGTTTTTGTCATTTTCTTTAACCCACTCCTCAGAGGTCAAGCAGCTCTTTTTTTGCGCACGGTAACAATATGGAGTGTTTCTAATTACTTTAAAGCAACGGACTTTGTTTGATTTCCCAATAACAAACATTGGAAGTTTTTCTGCACACATGTTAGCTGTAGCAACCCCAGATAGTCAAATCTCGCAATTCTTACCTCCACTACATTTCTCACCTTTCAAATGCATGCTTTTTTTTGGAAGTGCTATATAAAACAAACCGAACTTATCTGCATTAAATATATCACGCGAGTTATAACTAAACAATATTGTCGGCAAAGTTGATTCCCAGTGGTCATTTCATTAGTAACATCTTGACTTTTACCTATGGAAATTAAGAAAAGCAACTTTAAAATCAGTATAAATTTTATTAGCTATAGTTTAGGACTTTATTTGTCTTTCATGCAATGCGTGGTAATAAGACAAAACGTGGTGATGACTTTAAATAAATTAAAACAAAAGAATTGGATTGATAATTTATTGGTTCATGGGCGATGGAATAGAAATGAGAGTTCCATGCTTATTACAATTCTTTAGAAAAATGACTAAAAAAATGTAAATATTAATGAAAAAATAAAATGATAAAATATTATTGTAAATAGATATTGTTTTAAACGATACATTGTTTCTTTTTTTCCATCTATCTAACCATCCATCGGATGCTTGAAAGTTGTCACAACCAAGTTAGTTTGCAAAATGCAAAGCTTTGATTTTAAAAATGGTCGCAGA